TGAATCCCAAAGTCGAGTCTGGATCCAAATGTCGTCAAGTCCCAAAGTCACCAATCTCTCTCTCTCGTAGTCTGCAGATACTGAGAAGTCAGATACCGAGAGGGTGAGGAAGACATGGTGGACTTAGAAGAGGAAGAAGAAGAACTCTCTCTCTCTCTCTCAGTCCGGTACTAACCTGTGAAGGTGGCGCCTTGTTGCAGGTACATGGAAGACGAAGCTGGAGCTATGGCGCCACAGGTAAGTCTCCCTGGCCTCCGCCAACCATCTCTCTCTCTCCAACACTACTCTAGCTCCTAATAGCGCCCAGCGCTGAAGACTACTGCTAACGCTACTGGGATGGTTGGCGTTAGAGGTAGTCTTCAGCGCTGGGCGCTATTAGGAGCTAGAGTAGCGTTGGAGAGAAAGAGTAGCGTTGGAGAAGAGTAGTGTTGGAGAGACTACTGCTAACGCTACTGTGGCTCCTAATAGCGTTGGAGAAGAGTAGCGTCGGAGAAGAGTAGCTGAAGACTACTGCTAACACTACTGTGGCTCCTAATAGCGCTGGAGACTACTGCGTTGGAGAAGGAGAAGATGAGTGCGTGCTTCTCGTATGTCGCGTTGGTGTCAGCGATCTTGTCTTTTGGGTACGCCCAAGCGATCACTTCCTCATCGGTATTGTCCTTAACGTTTCTGACCTTGATTGTGACTTTCTCTCCTTCAATTTTTGGGGCTTCCAACCGGAAACGAAGTGTCTCATGATCCACGTTGGATGCGATTTGGGATGGGTCCTTTGAGGTGTCTGTTTTTGTTGCTGCTACCGTGCTGTAGCGGCGTTGGTAGTTTTGGGCCATGCTTGCTGTTGTTCGTTTTGTTTTTTCTTAATGATTGCTTTTGCTCTTTGTGCGATGTATTTGTGTTTTGTCGGTTTAATTGTTGTTGTTGTTGTTGTTGTTTTAAGTTAAATCAGACGCTGCTATTCACTTGTTTTTGTCCAGGCGGACTGATTGGTTGCAAACCTAAACCTTGAATTGCATACGCTAGCGTTTGCCCGCAGCTAGCCTACGTGTCGACTATGGATGTCTTTCTGTCTTGTTTTCCCTTTTAGTGAGATCGATGTGTGACCTTCTTTGTTTGATTGTTTTTTTTTTTTTTTGAACCTTAATTCAGTGGAGTGGTAGTGTGTCGTTTTCCTGGACTACTACGGGGAACTTCTACGGGGGCTGCGGCTGCATGCATGCAGCCTTCGTGGCGTGGTCGGGGCTATGCCTGGCCGGGATTGGGGGCAGGGGGTGAGGTGGGGTCGAATGGTGTGCGCTGTGCGTTACTGATGGGGAGTTACGATGGGGGTGAAAGGGTGGAGGAGGGAAGGCAGGCGTTGCGGGGAGGGAGGATGGAGGATGGTTAGTCGGGTGCGGGGGGATCCCTAGCTGGAAAAAGGAGGCTGGGGGGGGAGTTGGGAGATGGGAGTGAGGA